ATACACACAACGTTTTGAAATAATAAAGTAGGATATACATTTTAATAATTTTGACAAAATGGCTGAATATAAAATGTATTATCTTTGGGAAATGGCTGTCATGTTTTATATTTGGGTTAACTTAACTTCACATCTTTCTGTTATATTGTTTTTACTTCTAATTTGACAACACAATCTAAATTTAAATATTAAAGGTTATGAACTATTAAATAAAGAGTGTTTGTGGCGTTAATTTTACACAGAGTTTAATCTAAGGAAGCATACTTTTCTTTAGAAAACAAAAGTAAAATATTATATCATGAATTGGAACATTGTTTTTCTCATTACATATACACTTTATTTCCTTTTAATGTATATGTAAAGTATTAGATACTTAGCTTGGAATTGGAAATATAAAAGGCTATGTCTAGTTTGATTTAAGAAAACTTTGCCACTTAAATATATCAAAATAAAATAATGAACTTACTGAGGCTCAGCAGTCGCCATTTCTCGTTTGTATTACGATATAAAGTCAAGTGAGCCACTCCCCCCCCCCCCCCCCCCCCCCCCCCCCGTGTATATACCCCCATAAACTTCGTTTGTGGATGTATAATGACCAAATGACACCAACTCGAAATGAAAACGTAAACAATCTTGTGAAGGAATTATTACTTCATCTGAATGCGAAACTGAGTTCGATTCCCGGAGGGTGCGGGTCACTTTCGTTGTCCTTGATCATGAAATCCTTTCTATGGTCATTTGCACTGTACCTTGCGAAAGTGAAAGCAACTAGTACTGGTAAAACTGCTTGATAGCTTGCCCAGGAACGGTGCAGTGGCTGAACTATGCTCTAGAAAATTCAATGTGACTTACTATCGTGATCTAGAGTGAAAACCGCAAAATCTACCAAATAATGTCACGCGCACACGCACACGCGCACGCATACACGTGCACGCGCACGCACACAGACACAAATATATTGAAGGGTTTAACATTTTGATGCAGAAGTTAAAAATACCATGTTTTCAGACGATGCAACTTTTTCATTTAATGGTAAATTAAATAGCTTTGATAAAACAAGCCTTTTTTGATTTTTTTCTTTATTTCTGGTCTTAGTAGATGTACAGTTCTCAGAATAGATTCACTTAGAAATAAACATGATTTAGTTTAAAGTAGAAAAAAATAAAAATCAAGCTTTAATGTGTAAAAACATTAGGCGTAATGTTCCCCTCTCAGAAAAATACATCAGATGGGTACCAGATAGGGGATATGCCTCCTTCTGTTTGGGGGGTTTGAAGGGGGCAGCAGCCCCTCTCATCGCCAAGAAGACTTTGCACCTTGATAGGCTTAATTGGCCTCAGGTCTATCATAAGGTAACCAACGCTGAAAAGCCTTTTCCTCTATCTCAATCCGTTGAGAAGTTGCAGCAATTTGAAATCAGTTTGGATTGAAAAAAATCAATGAAAAATAGTGATTTTTGGCAATTTTGAGATGTCCCCTCGTTGACATGGTAATAGGAAATGTAATATTGAGCATGCCGTTGCAAAGGAAATGGTGCAGTCAACATTTGTGCCAAGTTTGATGAATATTGAAGCATCTTTTACAACAATCTGAACTTGTAACGGGAGGCTTTTCAATGAAAACAGCCATTTTTCACAAAATGCTCATGCAGTAATGGGTAAATTATTGCAAAAAAATCAAATCAATTTAACCAAGACATAAAAAGGTTTAGATAAAAACATATTTCATTATGGCACTAAAATGACAAAGTTATAAGGAACAAGCAATTATCATAGTATTGCAAGCAATCCATAAGTCCCCTACCGGTAAGAGCCCAAGCAACATTCTGAAGGGCCATTGGCCATTCACTTATGTTCCTATTTTAAGTAAATTTGTTGAAAAAGTTCTTTAAAAGTGATCACAGGAAACAGTTTTTATGTACAGACAGACGGACTGAAGGACACTCTAAAGTTATTTTTTAAACATCCCTGTTATCAAAATATAACATTTTTAAATCCTATCATGATTGAAGAAGTTGGTGTAAAAATTACCAATTTCTCAAAAAAAAAATCTAAGTTCAAAAGGGGCATACTTCTGGAAATAGTCTTGCTAGAGTATTGAACACTCACAAATGTTGAGTGATAATAAGAAACATTTATATGAAGTTTGAAGTAGATACATTCAGAAAAAGAAGTTATTAAAAAAAAAAAACAATGTTTTTTCATAAATATTTTAAGTTCAAGGGAGGTAATTCTGATAAATTTTGTGCTAGAGTTGTAAACCTTGTCACATATGATGTGGTTGATTACAAGCAACTTATATTTAAAATTTGAAGAAAATACCTTAAGAAATAAAGAACTTACAGTGAAAAAACTTAAAAACTAGAATCAGAAATCTTGAAATTCAGTCTATTTGTTGCCATAGCAACCAGAATTTTCAACATAGGAAGGTAAGAAAAGCATGTGCATAATTTCCATACTGCCATATACCCATATGTCAAGTTTCATAAACATATTTTCAGTACTTTTTGTGTTATCACTGGATCCAGGTTATGTGTAAAATTTGCCATATTTTCAGTCTTTTTGTTGCCATAGCAACCAGAATTTTCAACATAGGAAGAAAAGAAAAAGACGTGCATAATCTCCATACTGCCATCTATCCATATATCAAGTTTCATAAAAATGTTTTCAGTACTTTTTGCGTTATTGCGGGATCCAGGTTATGTGTAAAATTTGCTATATTTTTGTTGTATTTGTTGCCATAGCAACCAGAATTTTCAACATAGGAAGAAAAGAAAAAGACGTGCATAATCTCCATACTGCCATCTATCCATATATCAAGTTTCATTAAAATATTTTCAGTACTTTTTGTGTTATCGCGGGATCCAGTTTTGTGGACGGACGGACTGACGGACGGACAGACGGACTGACGGACAGACAGACGGACAGACGGACGGAGGGTAAACCTAAAGTCCCCTCCGGTAAACCGGTAGGGGACTAATAATTATTTAATTTGCAAGATAATAATATGCTTTGACATTTCAATTTCCATTAACTCTAGATCAATAGACTATTTGATAAAAATAACCATTGACTGTTGAAATAATTATAAAGAGGTGGGTGGAATCGATTTTTGAAAAATATAATTCAAACATAAATGACATACAGAAATAATTTATCAAAAACACTTTCTTAAAAGTATTACTAATAGCATGAAGTAAAATAAATCTAATAAAAACCAACAAAATCTATAAGACCATATCATTTGGCAAAATTCTTATATAAAAATAAAGGATATTTATTTGTTTCCAAAAATGGAAATGTACAAAAAGTAATAAAATAAAATTAATTTTTAACATTTAAACTAAACAATTTTTGACTAGATGAAAACTACTTTTAACATTCCTGATACAGAGATATTTAATTCATACAAACTAACTTCATCCATTACCCATAGAATGGAAACATAAACTACAACAAACCAACCAACCAGTTTTAACACCTTCAGAAATAAGCACTTTTGATATGATAAAAAAACTCGTCTATTATGTAAAGTGATTTAAATCTTAACACAGGTTCAATGTAAAAATCAACAGATATAATCGCAAATTTTAAACAGTTATTTAAATGCAACAAAAATAGGAATGAATGATACATATGATAATCACTGTTTTCCACTCTAAAAAGAAAAGAAAAATATTAATAGTTTTCTAATTTTAAAACACTTCATTATATACAAGAAACAAACACCAGAAAACACAAGGAGAAAACTGTTAAACCGATTGAATATTGAAAAATTTATTGCATTACAGAATGATACAATAGAATAGAGAGAAATAAGAATCCCTAAAGAAAGCCCAACACAACAAAATTGAAAATGTTGCAGGCTCGGTTTGATTTAGCCTGTTCATGGACGGTACTGTCAAGTGCAAACTAACTACCGTCCACGCCCCCCTAGCACCGGCTTAAGCAGAACTCAACATTTAACATGAACTGGTAAAATTTAGAATTTAATATACATGTATATGGCGGTCATCATGGAACCTTCAATTTGACACGTAAGTGCCATTCCATGCAAAGCGGCATATGGTCACCAAGTAAAAAAAGGCATGTGCCATAAACGAGAAAACAATGGACAAAACTAAATAAAATGGAATTTGAAAGGGGGTCCGAGGTTATGAAGCCTGCATATCACAGATATGACGTCAAAAGACAAATTTAAAATGCAGGCCACATATCCTAAGGGTGATTCAACAGTATTCAAGTTAGGAATACTGGAACCACCCAACAAGAAAGATGCCGAATAGAAAGAACTAAAATAACACAAGCACAACAATATTGTCGTGCTGAACGATCTTTAAGGAAGAATAGAAGACTATGAAAATTGCTGGTCAAATCTTATACAATTATTTAATATCTAAATGATAACTAAATAGCGAAAAACTACCTAAGCAGTTTATTCATTTTCTTCCTGTTCTGTATTTATAAAATTGAGCTTCGTTACTTCATTTTTCACTAACTACTGGTCATTTATATCGTTTGCTGTAAGTCAATAGCCGTGATGTATCTGTATTTGTAATATTTAAGGATATCATCAGCTATCTGCCCATCGAACCTTTTACACATATGTTCCATTGATGTTCCATTTGACCCATAACTCTATCATTACACACACGTTTTTCAGCTATCACATTGCTGGAAGACAGTTAGTATAGTATAAGTGTCTTCAGCTTGTTCCAGTTTAATGTTCACATAAAAATTGTACGCTCAAAGTCAGATAACCTTTAGTCTGTGTCTGTGATTTGAACCATCTCAATGTTTACATATCCTTCTAGATCACCAGTATTCTTTTTATACTTGACGACTACATAATTCTGCGAAAGTATAAAAATATTAGAATATTTAATCGAATAAAAAAATATCCAAATACATTTTTATCCATTTCTGTTAAATGCAATAATACATTTTTAACTTAGTAAAAATTTTGACCGCCTCTAAAGTAAGATTTATAAAGAAACTTACTTTATGATGGGGTTTCATACGCAATGCCATGTATAGGAAAGTGAAGTATTCTTTTACTATATTCATTCCTAAACCCAATAACATGATGCCGATTCCAAATGTTATAGCAGACGTCTTTACAGCATCTGTTCTTTTTGAGCATTCTTCATACCACCAAATAAAACCGTCTTGACATTTGTCAGTACATAAACCATCGTAGCCAATGAGAGGTTCAGGACAATTACTCGTACACAATCCATCATGAAAAAATGAATTTTTATCTTTACAAGAACGAATGCAAGTCCATGGTGTATATTCTTTGTATTCATATGGGTTTTCAGGAGGACATTTATCAACGCATTCGTTGCCATTCAGATATAACTTTGCTGGACATTGATCATAACATGTGACATTATATATCTTTTTGTCAGACGGACACGATTTTAAACAAATAAACCCTGCATCCACAGTGCCGTTCAATGAATCCCAACCATTTTCTCTTAGTTTCCATTGAGTAACAGTTTTTCTACTCTGAAGAAGTAATCGTTGATCTATAGGACACTCAGTCACACATGAATTGCCAAATGTGAATGTAAAATTTGGACACGCATATACACATGTGGAGTTAAATAGAAAAGTTCCTGTTGGACATTCAAGTAGACACTCCCAGTTCCGATATAGTTCTTGACAACATTTTACGGCTATTGTCCGTTGAATGATAAAATGGTAATTATGTGGGCATTCGGAGAGGCATGTTCTATTTACAAACACTGTATTATTAGGACAAGTGGATACGCATGTCATATCATGCGTGAACATATTTGCAGGGCAAAACTCAAGACACATTGTTTGATTTGGGGCAACGTCATGAATATCTACGCTGCATGGATTGTTATTTTGAAAAATGCATGAGTACGGACGATGTTTTGAACACTGTGATCTGCACATTTTATTGTCAATAACCGTTCCATTAGGACATTTTTCAACACATGTAAAATCGTAGTTAAACATCATTGGTGGACATTCTGTCGAACAATGCAGTCCATTATGTTTTGATACAGCATATGCGCTCTCATTCGGACAACGATTAACACACCTGTTATTGAAAACGTAAGGGTAATCTATTGGACATCTGAACAAGCATGTGTTACTACCAAATATCACAGTCATACCGGGACACGTTTGCTCACAATACTGGTTATATAAAAAAGAATGTGAAGCTGGGCACTGATCTACACAACTAGAATTAAAGATATATTTGTTCCGGACACAATCTTTGGTGCAGAAGTTGTCTTCGATTAGATATTCACACTCCTTTACACATTTATGAATAGATATTCCATTTACTGTTTCATTTCTGATAAATGGCATAATTTGTGGACATGATGTTGTACAATTATTTTCGTTTATGTACTTATGCGTCGGCGGACATGCTTTAACGCATGTGCCGTTATAAATATATTCGTGACGATCACACGAGGTCACGCATAGTTTTTCAATGTAGATTTCTCTTCCGAGAAGCTTTGGTGTCTCTCTTAAAATCGTATTTCTAGGACAATGGTCCACACATGTTTTATTAAATACAAAGAGAATTCCACACTCAGCAACACATTCCGTTCCATTTACATAGGCTGATTCTGGGCATTCGAAGACACATCTACCTGCTGTACAATATGGTTTATGCGGTGGACAAGTAGTGGATGATGATGTACAGAGTAATTGACATTCAACCTGCAAATTTAACTGTTACACTTTTATTATATAAAAAATAAAACATTTTACATCAAAATAAAAACTAAATTATTCGATTACCATTTCAAAAAGAATACGCCATTTCAACAAATATATAAGTGTAAAATATGTCAGCTTACCACTCCCACATGAAAGAAGAACACAGTCACGACACATTTTATGAAACTGTTGGTAATTATATTAGGATACATCACGGCATTTATCTAATGCATACATGAAGCATAAAATCATATCGCACAGTATTGAATTATTCTATATTTAACTCTCCTGAAATTCAATAGCAAAATTTATGTTCAAACACAAAAGCACGACATAAATCATTTAGATTTCTATTGAATTGAATAGAGCAAATACCTTCACAAAACCATTATTGATTTTCCCCATGCGGAATATTTTGTATGTATCAAATACACAAAATAATTTAACTATTTTCTATGGAACGCCACAGTTGTCTTTTGTTCACGCATTTCGTGGTAACTTGTCAGTGGGACATGTGAACTTCTCTATTCAGCGTGTTTACATGTCAGGACATAATGATGACTTGTCTAGCTACCATTTGAATATGTCAATATGCCATGTGATTTAGTTAAAATAACGTCTTATTGTGTGTCATGTGATATTGTCAACGTATCGTTTAATTATGTTTAAAGAACATGTGAACTTCTCAAGACTTCACATTTATTTGTTAAATGACAATGTGGACGTGTTTAGGTTGAATTTGAAAAGGTCTATGTGTGATATGATATTGTTAACATAAAGTCTTATTATGTTAAAAGAAGAAGTTAAATTCTCAATGCTTCATACCAATATGTGTTAACAATATCACATGGCATATTGACATATTCAAAAGGCTGCTAGACAAGTCAACATTATGTCTTGACATGTAAACACGCTGAGTAGAGAAGTTCACATGTCCCACTGACAAGTTACCCCGAAATGAGTGAACAAAAGACAGCTGTGGCGTTCCATAATTTTCAGCATATGGTTATGTACATGTTCGTTGCCTTATATAACTTAGGTTTGTTTGTTGGGCGGAACTAGATTCAACTGATGTTAAATAACAAAAGGAAGTTAGTACGGATAAAATGCGTTCTCAAAGTAAATATAATATTCCAGACTTACCTAATACGAAATACTATCATCTATTTATAAATTATACCGACTGTGATAAAACAATCGTTCGAGATATCGTGGAATATTTAGAAGCTGAGGGATTAAAATGCTGCTATAATGAACGTGACTTTCCATCTGGTAAAAAAGTGTTACAAAACATTAACGACGCTATAAAGAAGAGCATGGGCATCATCATTATTCTTTCGGAAGAATCAGTTAAAAGTAACTTCTGTCAACATGAAATCGAGCTAGCGGTTCATACAAATATAACAGAGGGTTATACAATCATACCTATCAAGGTCCAGCCTTGCGTTATTCCTGAAACTTTGAAGATGATAACATACATAGATGCGCAAAACAAAGAGACCAACGAAATGCATATACTTATTTTAAATGCATTTTTACACAACGGTAGGAGTTTTCTTTAACTTTCAATACTATTGAAATATAATTACTGTTAAGTCATTGAAGAACAAAAGTGTATTTGACAGAACATGAACATTTTCAAGTAGAAGTATATCATATTTTTCTGACATCACATTGAATTTCCTTTACTTTTATTTATAAAAATATCCTTAAACAAAGGTCGGGACGGACTTTATATGCACTATAAGTCACGCAAGTTGATGTTCATAATAAGAAATGCCACCAGTGTGATTTTTTGTAGACGAACGAGTATCTCACCACTGATGTGACTCAAACTCTCTCCGTATTAGGTATCCGTTTTACCCCTACACCACTCTTTTCCAATACATGTATGCTTCCAAGATATTCAACGTCCTTCGAATGAAAATACATATGTCACGTTAATACGAGGGGTAGGCAAGATATTAAAATATATTTCTTAATCAGGGTAGCTTAATTAAGGCAATATGGTTCTATACAGAGTTTATAAGTCAATTCAAGATAAAAGATATTTTGATTTTTTACAGTAACATTGAAGTTAATGTTTTTCGTTTCTTTAACAGTATGGCTCAAGGAACAGGAACGTGAGTACATAATAAATAACATGTTTTAACATTTCCCATTCATTAAAATAATATGCACTATGAATATTTCAGTGTATTTCAAATTTTAAACACGAGCTACTACCGGACGTGGCAACGCTCGATCTTTTTTTACTTTTTTTAAAGGCAAATAAATAAACGGTTTAAACAAATATTTAAAAAGAAAATTAAAGATGCAAAAATGTTTCACTTTTTTATATTTTAATACGTCGGTCTCGTCACACTTTAAAAAGCTCTTATCGAAAATGTTGTTTTGTCCAGGTATGAAGATAACCTATTGATTAATTACCACGTTACAGCCAATTATAGCAATTATCAGTGAAAATTCAATAATTTGATTTTCAATGTCAATGTCATACATGAGTCAAGGTCAATGCAATTTTTATGTAAATGTAGGTCCTAACAAATTTTATGTCTCAATATATAATTAATTTATTCATAAAAAACAAGGTTTTAGCCAGTTACAGGAAAACATGCGGATCTTTGGACGGTCAATTTCAATTAAACATTTCAATTACATCTAAATTATTTAACATCTTTGTTTGGTAGCAAGTCTTGTTTTGTCTTAGTAAGACAGCTTATCAGAAATCAGAGTTGTTTTTTTTAATAAGTTAACCTTCAAGGTCAATTATGAACGAAGGTCAAGTTAAGTTTAGTTTATTTTAAGGTTTGGTCCCAAAGTGTGTTGTGGCCAAGTATGGTGACAATACACCTATAACTTAAAGAAATTTTGTTTTGAATTGAAAAAAATATTTATATTTAAGGGACAAATGGCTTAACTTGTAGCATACCTTTGACATCATATGTAGAAGGAATGTTGGTATCGAGGTTTAAATTGTTGGTGAGCCAAAATGAAAGACATTCCATTAGAATGAAGGGATTTAATGTAAGTAGTTTGCAGACATCACATTCAAACCATTTGATTTTCTTTCAGTAAGTGCTTTTTTAGAGAATAAAGAGCATTGACCAGCATACAGATGCTGGCAAAAAACTTTGATAACATATTTTTATACATTATGATTCTCTGCTGTTTAAATTGAAATACAGAAATAAGTATTGAAATGACCTTGTTTATTTTCAGCCAGCCGGTTGATAAATCTGTTATTTTGAAACTTGGCAAAAATGCATATGAAAACAATAACAGATGCTCATAAAATACTTCCAAATTGCAGTCGAACAGTTTTGTGTTAGAGGCCTCTGTAAACCAAACAACCTATTTCAATATTGATTATTTAATAATACATTTTCAGAGATCATAAATATGATTTATTTTCATCTCAAATTGGTGTGTTAAATTATGGCCCTTTCTGACTAAGGACAGACAGTAGTACTTAAATTATCAATATTTTTGAAACGCTGTATTAGTATACATGTATTAAATGACATCATATACATCTATAAGTTATAAATTTAATAAGCAACAAAATTGCGGACTCACGTGGAGTTGACTTTTACCTATTAAACAAGTTATATTTACGATTTGGTTTTCATTAGTAGTTTAAGGTATTTAAATTTCGAAGATTAATATTTACAAATGATATTGTTGTTGTTAATTGTTCACGGAAAATAGACATGAACCATCTATTTAAAACTATTTACATTTAGTTCTTAAATTTTCTATTAACAAGCGCTTCCAAACTTATAGAGACGATGCAAACCGATTAGGGACCATATGCCGCTTATCATAAATGACACTTACGTGTCACATTGAATATTCCATGATAACCGCCATATGAACACATCTGTGGATGTTTAAAAATTCAAAATTTTACCAGCTCATGTAAAATGTTGTTGAATTCTGCTTAAGGCGTGGAGGAGGGTAACATGCACTTTCCAGTACCGTCAATAAACAGGCTCAATCAAACCGTTGGGTTTTGTTTTTCTCTATTCACGCCCGCAGGTTATTGGTATTAGGCATGGGGGAGCACGTGACCTGTTTAAGGCACATGGAGGAGCACGTGATCTTTTAACCGTACATTATTGGTTAATCGATGCTGTATAAATTGGTAATAAAATCTATATGCGCATTAGGAAGTTTCAAATGGGTTTATGCAATAATATTCCAGTGCAATTAAAATCAAAGCACAGAAGGCGCTGAATTTGTTTGGGTCTCAGAATGTAAGAAAGGTGCAGGTTGTGAGATTATATGTTTAGTGCCACCAATGCTTTCCAGCGTTTTAATTGTAGTAGATTGGCTATAAGACTAATTGCAACACTGATATTCAATCCAATGTTTATTTGACTTTAACAATTTAAAAAAATGAGTTACCTTTACTGGGATTTGAACTCCAGACCTCTCGCTTCCTAAGCGAGCCCGAAAACCCTTCAGGCACGGTGAATTTATATGTGAACGGCCTGAAGAAAACCACATTATTCTAAATTAGGGCTGTAACGACTTTAACTGTTGTTTAACACAGATGTAAATAATCCTGGAGCTTACTATAAGCATGTATATTTATAAAGAATCAAAGGGCTTCAAGTTCTGTGGTATTTTCTGATCTTTGCAATGAAATTGTACTGTATATCTGTATGCATTTTCCTGTATAGGCTTATTTTTATGTATTATAATTCCTTTTGTAAGGCACCAGAGTTTGATACATACGGAATTCTGCATAACTAATCAAAAAATCATTTATGTTCTTTTTTTTACGACAGCCACACTTTATCCTTTTATATCATGGCTACTTCCTTAACAAAAACACTTAAAAAAAATAATTTAACAAAAAAAAAAATTTCCACGACTGGGATACGAACTCGAGACCTCTCACTCACGAAGCGAGCGCGTTACCACTGTACCACGGAGAATTTATATAAGCGTGTCAGAATAATATCAAGTCATTCTAAATTTAGAACTTCCATTGCAGTCCGGGTTTGTAATCCTTAAATTAATTTCGATGTATTTTGTTCAGGGTAAACCTGTTGTTTAAAATTGAAGTAAATAATTTAGCGAAAATCCTCTCGCCCAAACAGTCCGACATGTAGAATCTATATATTCCACAACTCGATCGGTTTGTGTAGTATTCGATAATCGACATGGCTAAAAATAGTATTTTCATTGATAAAATCATATATATTCATCCGCGTAATTTGTGATTGTGCATTTATTGACAGTTCTATAAGCCAACGCTATTGTTTAACATTAAATGCGTTGTAATTTGTTGGATACTTGTAACAAAATAA